AGATGGGCCTTCAGGGCTCGGCGAAAAAGGCGCAGGTCCNAAAATCCCCCGCGCAGCCGCATTCTGAACTAGCTGGAGCCTCCGGGTGCACCTCAAGGGGAGCCCCATGTAGAGAGCATTGCAATAGTCCAGGCGGGAAACAACGAGGGCTTGAGTGACTGTGCGTAGGGCGTCCCGATCCAGAAAGGGGCGCAACTGGCGTATCAGGCGAGCCTGATGAAAAGCCCCCCTGGCCACGGGCGTCACATGATCGTCTAAAGACAGCCGAGCATCCAGGAGGACGCCCAGGTTGCGGGCCCTCTCCGCGGGGGCTAATGACTCACCCCCGATAGCCAGAGATGGAACCAACTGGCTATGACATGACGCCGGAAACCACAGCCACTCGGTCTTGGACGGGTTGAGATGAAGCCTGTTCCTCCCCATCCAGACTCACACGGCCTCCAGGCACCGGGACATCACTTCCGCGGCATCGTTGGGGTGGTCCGGGGTGGAGATGTACAGCTGGGTGTCATCTGCGTACTGATGAAACTCCACCCCGAAACCACGGATGATCTCACCCAGTGGCTTCATATAAATGTTGAACAGGAGAGGTGAGAGGACCGACCCCTGTGGTACCCAAGTGAGGCGCCTCGAGGTTGACCTCTGCCCCCCTGCCAACACAAATTGCATCCGGTCTGAGAGGTAGGAGGAGAACCACCGTAAAACGGTGCCCCCCAACCCCAACCCCCCTAACCGGTGCAACAAGATACCATGGTCGATGGTATCAAAAGCCGCTGAGAGGTCTAACAGGACCAGGATAGAGGAACAGCCTCTATCCCGAGCCCTCCAGAGATCATCAACCAACGCGACCAATGCCGTTTCCATGCTGTGCCCAGGCCGGAAGCCGGACTGGCGCGAGTCTAGATAGACAGTTTCTTCCAGGTGCTGAGGGAGCTGTCGTGCCAGAGCTGGTATTCCTTCTATCATGCCAGGATGCTTTGCCTAATAAAGGATTACATTAGAGATCGCAAGGTATCTGGTGTATTTACTTCATTGGGTTTTTCAACCGGAACTATGTTATTACCATTGTTATGCAGAAAAATTGTATGACATCATACTGAGACTTATGTGAGGAGCTGTGCTACTTGTGCAGCCAGTAAAAGACTGGCAAGTAAAAGCCCAGGAATGTTGCAGCAGGTGGCTGACCTGGCTAGACCTGGAGAGGAGATAGCTATGGATTTTATAGTGGTGTTGCCAAAGAGTGGAGAAAACATTGTGATTTGGACTGTAATAGACCTCTTTTCCATCACATGCTCTGGACTCCCCTCAGCCCAGAAATTAGAAAATATGTTTTTAAAACACATCTATCAGCTGCACGGAGAGCCTAAGTGCATCATCTCTGATCAAGAGGTCCAATTGATAGCTAAGTTCTGGAAAGAGTTTGTGAGGATGTTTGGGTCCTCCCAGGGATTTAGCTCAGCTTTTCATCCAAGTACAAATGGGGCCGCAGAATGAGCTAAACATTTCTGACATTTAAAAAAAAAATCAGTAACCAATATATTGTAGCCATCCTTCTTCTCAATAACAGTCATAAGCCTTCCTTCATGGGCTCTGTCAGTTTCTTAATCTGTTGACAATCGATGTTTTGTGTAGCAGCAACCACAGCCTCCCAGACTGTTTTCCTTCACCATAAATCTCCCATTTAAGAAGGGCCCACAAGTTCTGAATAGGGTTTAGATGAGGTGAGGAAGGGGGCCATGCCATTATTCTTTCATCTTTAAGGCCTTTACTGGCTAGCCATGCAGTAGAGTACTTCGATACATGCGATGGAGCATTGTCCTGAATAAAAATCATAGTTTTCTTGAAAGATTCAGACTTTTTCCTGTATCACTCTTTGAAGAAAATGTCTTCCAAAAAAATGGCAGTAGGTTTGGGAGTTGATTTCAAGTCCATCTTCAACTCGAAAATGTCCAATTAGCTAATCTTTAATAATACAAGCCCATATCAGTACCCCACCTTCACCTTGCTGGCATCTGAGTCTAAGTGGAGCTCTGTGCCAGTTACTGATCCAGCTAGGGGCTATCAATTTGGTCCGTCAAGAGTCATTCTTATCTCATCACTCTGTCTTCAGATATTTCTTGGCCCAGGCTTGCCATTTCAACTTATATGTCTTGTTCAGTGGTGGTCGGGGTTCAGCCTTCCTTACCTTGGCCATGTTTCTGAGCACTGAAGACCTTATACTTCTGGGCATTCCAGGTAGGTTGCAGTTTTGGAATATGACAGCACTGGAGGATAATGAATTCCTAGTATTTCAAATGTGATTCTTCTCAAATCTTTGACAGCTAATGTATGTTTTTTTTTCTCAACACATTTCTTGCAACCCTGTTGACTATTTGCAACAAAACATTTGATAATTCTGTGATCATGCCCCAATATCTTAGCAATTTCAAGAGTGCTGCATCCCTCTGAAAGACGTTTTACATTTTTTGACTTTTCAGTCAGTTAAATCTCTTTTTTGGACCATTTTCCTGAGGAAAAAAAGCTGCCTAATAATTATGCACACCTTGATATAGGGTATTGATCTCCTTAGGCCACACCCTCCCTCATTACACAAATACACATCACCTGATCTGCTTATATCCACTAAGCATTCAGGTTTATACAGCTTGGAGGTGGAAAATATGCATGAAAATGATCATATGGTCAAAATACTCACTTGCCTAATAATTGTGCACACAATGTAGTACATACTAACTCAATCATCACCTCCTGAATTAAGGTACATATCAGAACACAGTCATTCTTTAGACTTCAAATATAGCTCTTTTAGGTAAAAAAATACATTTCGGTGCCTGAATTTTGCACCGGAATTAATTTCCCGTGGAGAATGTTTTTGGCAGTATTTAATCAGGTTAAAGAGATGAAGAATAGTGGTTAGTCCTTATTTCTATTTCCACAGTTCTGAAAATGAAGAGGCCATAGATATTTACTACAATATTTTGCCTGATTTTTAAAATTTTCCCTCCCCTTTTCATGTCCTTCCTTTTTAATAATTACATCTGATAAAAAGTGCAAGAAAGCTCAAAATTTTTCAAACTATTATGTTCTGTTTCAATTTTCTAACAACAGATTTTGTATTTAGAATTAATTACAGTAGAAGACTGAAGCAAAACATTTCAAAACAAATAAGGAATTTTGTAGAAGATTGCTTGTCAATTCTAACAAGTGATCTTAAAATTTAGCATTATCATTCTAAGGCTACGAGTTCAACTTCTGATGACTATATGGACACATTCATGTTTTTTTCCCCACAATGATACTAAAATGATTTACCGCTGTCTCCTTCCATAAACAGTTTTTAACCTTCCAGTCTAGTTTACATCTTTGAGATTTTCTAGTATTTCCTATTCAAATATTAATCAGATATAATACTGTTTAAGTTCTTAAAATAAACTGCTAAATGCTGTCACCTCCATAGGAATATAAATCTACTAACTCAATAACCTTCAGGTAAGTCTTTCTTTTAAGCATTTATATCATGAACCTCATAATACTTCTAACTGTTTATATGTCAGAGATCAAATTGTTTCAAGGGTAGGCCAAGTTGATGTCTTCCAAAACTTTGGGACTTCAGTTCAACCAATTCCAGACAGCTGGTTGATGTCAAGGGACTTTGTTAGTTTCTGGATGACACCCAATTGTATACTAAATGGTATGTGACAGAACCCATTTCTATTTCATTTCTATCTATCTTCTCTGATCTAATAACAAATCTCACTTTTCCCTGGGTTCTGCCATACTCCCAAGGGGGAGGGGGGATATGCCTGCGGGGTTATTGCTTTCACTTCCTCTATTCACTACAATGTAACCTTTTGTTTTGTTTATTGCTTCTGTGTCTGCTGCCCGCTACAATGTAACAATTTGCTTCCTACACTGCATCTCTCTGAACTTTCTTCTCCCTAATCTGTCAGCTAGGAAAAGGGGGAGAGAAAGAAATATAACCTCTGGAGCCTGGCTTATTTCTCTGGTCTCAAAAGGAGGTGCGAAAAGCTGCTTGAATATCATGCTACAACCGAAACTGGACCGATGTTATCTGCCCTTTCCCACGATGGACTTAACACCTGGGGATTGGCCGGTCTGAACCATCCGGATGAACTGTGGGGTGGGGTTTGCTTAGGGACACATTAAAGTATCAATCTGTAAAGGAATCCCTCAGATCCTGTCTATTATGCTTGCTATCAACTACTTTTAATAAAAGTTCCTGTTGGAGGAAACCGTCTCCAAGAGTTCTGCTTTCTTAAGATATGAGATTGAAGTGGGTCCTTACAGTATGTTTACAATTAAATCAAAATTACAATTAAAAGCAATTTAATTAAATGCGGATTTTTCATCTGTATGTCATCAGGAGGCAGTTTAGATTTATTTTTTGTCATACACCTTCCTCACAGGAGTGGGAGGGAAAGGGTATGACATTGGGGGGGAGAACAACGAAATTATAGAGATGGAAATATAATTTTGTTAAAAATAAAAGATTGATTAATTAAAATTTTGAATACTAATATTTTATATAAAGACATAAAAGTTTTGCTCCTTTAAAAATGTATTTTTAAGACATGCTATTATTTTGATAACCCTGCCACAAAAAAATCTTACAATATACAATCAGTACCCTTAAATAATTCAGTGAAAACTCTTAATGAAGCTTTCAAAATCTTTATGGAATATAGCTACCTTTTCTACTTGTCAAATCTATGGAATGGAAATGACTACTTAAATAAGATATAAAGTATGGCAATTTTATACAGGCATAAAAACATCAAAGATCATAACTTCATCTCACTACACCTTCAGTCATTCAAATTCATGTTCTTTTTAGTAATCTATTACAATGTGTGCATATACACAATCTCAATATGTAGAACTCGATAAGCGACAATTTCAGACAAGAAACTGCTTTCAAACTGTAACATAAAGAGAAATTGAAGAAAACAGTCTTAGCTTTAAAGAAGCCATTAACTTACCTGATAGGGTACAATACTCGCATGTGCAGTGCCCCATCGCATGGATTCTGTTCTGCAGTTTAGAAAATTGCTTGCTATATAAGTAAGGCAGGCAACCTGCAAAGATTTGAAATAGCACAAATGTCAAATTCTGAGATTATAGACATAAACATGTGTGTGTATATTCAACAAATTTAGTATTATTAATTCATAACTGCATTTATTACCCCACAAATCTCAGCCTTCAACAGTCTCTTAGAATAGTAGCTGGTTACTGAAAAATTCAACAGTTGGCAATTAGTTACCAAAAAACAACAACTAAAGTAATGGTCTTTGTAAAAAGCATAAAAATATAAGTGAAACATTTCAGGAAATAAAACTGAACAAGATAAAGCAACAAATATATGAGGATGGTCCTCCATGCTACTGGCTTTTGGAAAACTCATATAGATTCATGAAACAATTAGCACCGAGGAACTCATAGAAATATTGAGTTTTTTCATGCCCAATGCAATGAATGGAAGAAGAATTGAAACTGTCAGAGCAAAAGTTATGATTCAAATACTGGTAGCTTTCATTTAGCAACCACAATTGGTATCAGCAGCTCACTCTTAGTGAACTAGTCGCTAAGTGGGAAATCACATGACCACAATTGTGCTTTCTTTTCCCCCACTCCTATATCCTTTGGCAGCTCATCCTGGCACTGGGATAATTAGCAAAAAGGAAATTGTTTGTATTTACAATCATTGGCAAGAAAGGGATTGCAAGATAGTGAGCAGGTACACAATAGGAAAGATACTTCAAAACCAATATGCTGATGCCAGCAGCCCTAAAAGTCCTATGTACACAGTTATGTGAATTCTTTGTTGTGTGCTTACTCTCTTGTAAACTCTCTCTCTCCAATCTCTCTGATATATGAGTGGGGTGGGGTGGGGGGGAAATCTCAGTTTCTAAAGGCAGTCTCTTCTGTGCCTAATCCTTACACCAAATAGCTCTCAAGTAAATTTTTAACCATGCTGATATTTCCTATTCAGCAACAAGCATTTATCAGAACCTGACAAGTTTTTAATCTGCTGCAAGTTAGCCAAAATTCCTTTATCCAGAATCCCTTTCCCTGTGATTCATATTCAAAACTACCCAAAATGTTTTGTTGTATTGCTCATACAGTATTATTAAGGTAGCCATCAATCTTTCATCTTTCTTTTATTAGAACATAAGCTAAGATAATCAGATGTTTCATCTTACTTTGCTCTTTCCAGCAATTAGCCTAACATTATGCATAATGTAGTTACATTTTGTGTTATAGCTATTAGATTTACTATAACAAAGAATAAGATTTACTATAACAAAGAATAAATATTAGGCCTAGGGTGAATTATGTTACATGTTACTATTTGAATTTTACCCAACGTTAGGGTTTTAAATAAGTTTTTATTATGCTATATTACTGGAATGTAACTTTGCTGCCCAGATTTTTTATTGTTCTGACAATTGATTGAATAAATTTGTGTATTTGTATTGATGTTTAAAATTAAAAAAAACAATGCATCAAAACATTATTCTTTCTCTTACAGCAGTGATGGCGAACCTTTTAGAGACCGAGTACCCAAACTGCAACCCAAAACCAACTTATGAATCGTCTGGTACCGGGTGGGTGTGGCCCATTAGGTGGGCATAGCCCATTGGGTCGGCATGGCTGCGGTGGTAACGGCAGACTGGGTGGGACTAAAAAGTTCAATCAATCAATTCCAACTTTGAGAGATCTTTTTTTCCCCGCGAGAAGTTGAAATTGATTGAACCTTTTTTTTTTTGCACATGGCGGTGGAGGCCTAAAGCCAAAAGGATTTATAAAACCCAGCTGAAGGCCTAGGACTGGGGTGATGGTGCGCGTGCCCACAGAGAGGGCTCTGCGTGCCACCAGTGGCACGCGTGCCATAGGTTCACCACCACGGGCCTAAGGCAGTGATGGCGAACCTTTTAGAGACCGAGTGCCCAAAAACTGGCCCCGCCCCCACTCCAATCAATTCCAACTTTGCAATATCTTTTTTTTCCCACGAGAAGTTGAAATTGACTGATTGAACCTTTTTTTTGTACATGGCAGCGGAGGTCTAAAGCGAAAAGGTTTTATAAAACCCAGCTGAAGGCCTAGGACTGGGACGACGGTGCGCGTGCCCACAGAGAGGGCTCTGAGTGCCGCCTCTGGCACCCGTGCCATAGGTTCGCCACCACTGTCTTACAGAATAAAAGGAAATATATATATATATATATGAGGGAATGAAGTTGGGGTTGCTGCTTGCTCTTTTCAAAAGCAGCTGCAGCAATGTAGACAAGTTTCCCTGCCCCTGCCCTCAGGCATTTAGTCATTCCCTCAGAACTTTACTCACAGCATCCAGTGTTCTAGCTGCTGGATAATTGAACCACACTCTCGCATTTTAAAGAACTTTCTGATATCCGGAGGCAGCCTCACCTCAGCCAATCTTTTGAGCTTACAAAAGCAAAAGCTAAAACAGAGTAGGAAAAAGGGTGTGCAGAAAAGATAAAGGCAAATGGCCTACAGAGGAAGAAGGGTCTACAGATTGGCAACTATCACAAGCAGGAAAGGGAACTTTCATTCAACGGACAGGACGACAAGCTATGGTGAGCAGCATAACCTGGTTGAAGTCCTGCCTGAGCTTGGAGGTTTGTCTGGAGCTAGGCAGCAACTATTCAAACACTGAACAACCACACTGAAACAACAACTAGTGTAAGAACATTTGGAAAATATATCTGTTTTGTGTTCTTAGTTTTTCATTAGCAATTTAATTATCTATATTGTAAATCAGAATGTTTATATATGACAGGTATTTATGAAGGTACAAAATAATGCAAACAAAATCTAATCTCTAGCAACAATCCTTAAGATTAGTTTCATTCATTACCAGATAACTTTATTGTGCTAAAGAACAAAAAATATCCATAAGAAATGTAACTGAAATATAATTTTCAAACATTTATCAAATCAAATCAAATTAAATTAAATGACCACCCATATCCTATATATGATTCTGGCTGGCTACAATTAATACAATAAAAAATTGAGAAAAATTTCAAAACAACAAAAATGACATAAAAAAATTGGCCAAGAAGATTAGTAAACACTCAAGCAAGTCATGACATGGCTTCACCCATATTATCAGAGGCAAAGCTAGGTTTACATGACTTGTGAAACACCAGCAATAGGGATGATGTTCCAGAGAGTGGGCTCCATGGTTAGGTTTTCCTTCTGGTCCCACCAGTTGACACTCTCTTGCTGACAGAATCTAGAGCATAGAAAACAATTTTATTGTCTAAGCTCTTGAAATCATCTACCATAAACAGCTTATCCCTTAATTCAAATGGAAAGTGGAACAGTGGAAGATACAGTGAATAATGTTCTCCACCTGACTGACACTATGAGGACAGAGATGCTGTTCAACAAGGCACTTACAAATTTTCCTTCAAGGTTTGCCAAAGGCATAGTCTGCAAGCAAAAGGATATAATCCCTTCTTCAGTGAGACATTGGTAATATTAAATAGATACTGGGAGAGGATTCTCTGTTTTTTATTATGATTAAGCCAAGATAAAAATTTGGATTACTACTACACTGGCAAATTTATTGGCATCATTTTCAAAAAGTCTGTTTTCTCTGTTTCAAGAGGCAAATTCCCCCAGACGGTTACAGGGGAATACATTTGTAGAATGGGTGATAAGTGTTAAATCCATTGATTTCCATGAAGAAAATAATTTGGCAAGGTAGAATTTCTGAAAGTTTTTCCAGTTTCTTACACTGCTTCAACAATGCAAGATGTACTCCAATAGGGATGGAAGTCAAGGCTATTTCCATCTTTAGATAATCAGCAGAGATACAGTTCCTAATGAAGTTATAAGTTTATTATTATTGTTTAATTTGACAATAAGCTTGTCATCCCATTCTCCTCCATCCAGCATCTGCGCTATCAACTTGTCTTGAAATACTTTAAATGTAGGTTACAAACTACCTTGAAAAACTTCACCATAGCATGCACTGAACATTGGGCAGTTGGGCAAAATGGCAGTTAAAAGTGTTTTCCGTACAAGAAATTTATGAAGGTAATGCCTTAGTATTCTGTTGTCATCAGCCCCAATAAGAAAAAAATCTCTTTGCCTTTATCTTCTGTGGCTCAAATTATCAGAATAATTATAGATAATTCTGTGATGTGACTATATCAAGTCAAATAAATGTTGCTACACCACTTTCTGGGGTCTACCATGTAAACATTTAAAAGATCTAAAGTTGTGATCTAAAGACATGATTAGCTGATGTTCTACTAAACTTGGGTTTTCACATTTAAAATCAAACACTGGTGCTCTCTGAGCTTAACTGTTTTCTTCCAAGTGTTTCATTATCCAATTAGGTATCATCATCATCATCATCATCATGGTATCTAGTTTGGGTAAAGAAAACAACCAAGCTCAAAGTGCACCCCTTATTTCAATTCTGAGCTACATTCTCTTCTATTGTGATCACACATTACAATAAGCCAGAATGTTTTTTATTCATTTGTGGTTTAGCATGAATCATAAGCCAATCATTCTGATTTTAAAATAATTATGTAGCTCAATGATACAAAACTAACTAATTGTGCTGTGCTCACTGAACTAGTATGACTTTTTATAATGCATGTACCAAGATCGTTTTCTTTAAGGGCAAATATATTATTTGTTTAAATATAATAGCAATTTTCTTGAGCTAGGAAATGAGAGAATTTATCAGTAATCATGATCCATGGCTGCAAAATCAAATTTTGGTTTGTCAATTAAGTGAAGCAAAACCTTTGTATTTGTTTATGTGAAGTATAATTACATGTATAATCACAGTTACTTTTAATTACTGCTTTCACACAGTTCATGAAAGGTTTCCAGTATTTTTCCAAGAACAAAATTGGCAATGATAGCTAAGCTGTAAAAAGATAAGTTGTCTGTGATTATTAAAATTATCTCTGCAGTGTAGATACAAAGGAGAGCTGGAAAAAAGTTTGAATATGCTCCCATTTGTCATGACCCAACATTTAGGTTCTGCGAATATAAACTGCCTCTTGCCTTTTGGAATCACCACAGTGGAAATACCATTAAAGGACCAATCTTTTACAACCTTTCAAGCAGGAAGACAAAATAATATAACTTATTATCAAATACTATTCAGATTTGAAAATATCCTGGATATATTTTCTTTCCATTCTAAGAAAGAAATTCACACTAATGGTCTGAGGGCATTAAAGCAGATGTTCCAAAAATATAATTTCAGCATTCATTCACTTATACATAAAAATGTGCCTACTGTGTGTGTGTGAGAGAGAGAGAGGGGGGGGAGGGGGGGAGAGGGAGGAGCAAGAGAGAGAGATTATGTCTGTAATTATGTCTGCCTACATTCCCTTAATACTTTTTCTCAAAGAACTGAAGAGAACATACAATTTGAATTCTTCTGTGCTTAAATCAACATACTTCATATATTTAGCTTTACTTACCAAAATAGGTCACATATTCAGCTTTACTTAACAAATTAAATTCCATACTGTGTTGTTAAACTGCCTGGCTGAAACACTATGAGTGCCAGACGGTAAGACCAGACAATAAAGTCAGAGCAGTGTTTCAAAGGGTTTCTAAAATTCTTTCAGTATTATTACTGTAATTCAACTAACTTTGTCAATTTCATGTGTAAGCTTCCATACAGGCATTAGTTGTAAAAGATCCATGGTAAGATGGGGAAATTATTTCATACACATCATTTCCTTTTTTGTAATTACTTGTGCACAGGAATGTAAATAGTATCTCCAAATTTCTTTAAAAATGTTGATTCATTCCAAATAGTCTTTTCTTCAAAACTGTCAATTATAACTACTGGCAAAAAGATATGTAAAAGAAATAGCAATGCTATTCATACTGGATGAACTGTACATTTTCCCCTCATGCTCAGTAAATAATTGAACACAGACATTTAAACATATATTAGTGTTTAAACAAGAGTTGTGTGTATACTGTGAAACAAGAAAGTAGCAAGACAACATATCAAATTTATCACCTTTTTACCTAATGAACTTTTGCATGCAAAATTCATGAAATATATCTGGAACAAGGCACAGTATTCTGTACTTTTTTGGGGGGGAGAAAACAACTCCAGGACCATTGTGCAAGTCAGCAACCTCCTCAGTGGCTATGCTGTTTCAAGGAATATTACTATGTATTAAGAATTTGTTCATTATCTTTTTAAATGGAAATAGGGGTTGAGATGCACCATATTTATTTTATCATTAAACTTTTATGTTTTTTATTTATTATTAAAGTTTTATGCCAGCCATCTGTCCCACAAGGTGACTCATATCAATCTTACCCAAGTCAGTATTATCAACAAACTTTAGAAATTCTCAAGCAGAAATAAACGATATTCATTTTTGTTATGATTGCAAGGAACTGTGAAGAAAGATGAACAAATGTTAAATTGCAATGCCAACTTGCTACAGGACAACTCACTGTGGCCAAGTCACCACAGGACAATTCGGCATGGGACAATTCAACAATTTAAATTAATTATTTAAATTAATTAAAAAATATTTTAATTTTTGTCATTCATATTTAATTTTGTCCCTCCTTTTGCATCCTTTTAAATATTATTCTATTCCATAATATGTTCAATATTAGTGTAACTCTTGACCCAAGGTGCGTTGTCCCGTGGCAACTTGGCCATGGAGAGTTGTCCTGCAGCGACTTGGCTATAGCAAGTTGGCCATAGCAAGTTGGCTGCGACGAGTTGTCCTGGACCCTTTCTATATGTATCCATGTTTTACGTGCATACAAAGAAGTGGGTTTCAATTCAGTTTAGAAAAAAGGAGTTTTCTAATATATTATTTCCTTCAAGATATAGGGGAAGAAGAGGATTTGTATAATATTAGACTTCCAGGATTAGTTGACAAAGTACCAACAACAAGGCATTTTTCTGCAACTCTGCTGCCATATAGTCATAGTGAGGACACTGAGGTTTGCTGTGCTTACCAACAGCCTGTCTTTGCTGATTGCGCCACATTCGCTATTAAGTTGTCTTATGCAATTGTCTTTGCTTCTTTATGTGTATGTATTAGCCCTGCAGCAAGATACAATCAAGGTTTTTTTTACAAGTTTAAAGGCTTGGCTAGGGCCCCCTGGGTCTTCAGACTTCTAGGTGGCTTCCGTTCCACCTTCAGGAACGTATGTGTAAATCTGATTATATTTAGAACAGTGTTCCATATTACATAGCAAAGCTGAAGTTCTCAGTTTCCTAAGTAGTTTCCCCAGCAAAGGAGCAGTAGAATAAGAAACCAAGATTACTCATGTAAATCTCTTGATCAAAGCAAAAATCTTTTTTTTTTTTTGCAAAAAGAGAAAAAATGTGCAATAAAAATTGCTGAAGAGTAAGGTTTCTTGCTTAATGTCAGCTTGCAGAATTTGAAATGACCTGAGTCTCTTGTTTGTTTGCTCTCAACTGGCTACAATTAGAGGCAGGAATGATATTAAAAACTTTCAAGAAATATTTTCAAGCCACAATAGAAGATGCAGATCAGTTTCATAAATGGAAACACATCCAGAAACCATTTCTTTTTATTTATTATCATCTAAAACTATTGTTTATATGTTGAAGCTAAAAAGACTGGAATTGACAATTATAAATCATGTAAGTGAGGAAAAAGTTCAAAGACATTTTGTATCAAGGGTAAAAAGTTCATAGACAAAGAACAATTGGATGTAAGTTCATGCTGTATTCCAGCATCCCTTAATTTAGGATACATGTTTAAGAGAGATTTTTATTTCATTTTCTTGCAAATAAGACACTGCTTCTAGGTAGTGATTACTTACTACTCTCTTGCTGACTACTTACTATTCTCTTTACCAAAGTCAGAGAATTCAGGTGTTCTTGGACTTATATTTTTAAACAAACTACCAAAATCGAAATTATATTAGCACTTACTTTAGCTCTCTAAAAATAGCAGCAGTATTGGGAAAATAACAAGAGATAGAAGGAATCAAACAATCCAAGGATGTCTGAGCTTAGTTGATTCATGAAAAGCTGACTAATGTCTGGAACAGAGCTTTTAAACCCTTAATAACAGGAGTCTGAATTGTCTGCAATATTTTGGATTCTGCTTCTAGAATACTTTATTTGGTTTATATTTTAATATTAAGAGATACAAGTAATATTTGCACATTGTGCAAAATTATAGACTGTTTTACTGGTGTTAGTATCGCTGTTTCATACATAATGTTTAAGCATAGATTACAGAACTTAGATTCATATTTTATGCTAAGATAAAATGAAACTATGCAGTTTGTGAACCTGTTATGAATATCATCCAGTGTAGTTTTTCTTTTTGAAAGCATCCAACAGGGTGTGCTGAGATAAATTAAAAATGCTGGAAATTGTATACATCTATGTTGTCAATCAAATGTACACTGGCTTCTAAAATATAAAATATTAAATTCTTATTTTATTGTAGCTTCAGATGCATAACCCAGAACATATTAGAGAGCAAAGCCTTGTTTTTACTTGTTTTATTTCAATATTTTTTTAAAAAAATCTTAACTTACAAATTAACATTTTTAATTCAAAATGCTCCCTATAGATTACCTTTAACTTCACAAAATCAAAACACGTGGCAAGATTTTGGTGATTCACCTTCTCTTCTTATATCCCTAATTAGATTTTTAAAAAGTTACTTTAATTTTCGTTTTGGAAGATAAGTTTATAGGTCTATGACCACGATGTTATCTACTCCTATAGCAGACATGTCAAACTCGCGAAGTCACGTGATGTTGCACAACGTATCAGAGCTTTTTCGTCATTGCCGGCAATGGGGTGGGCGTGGCTCCGGTATGATGAAACCAGCCCGCAGGCCGGCAGTTTGACACCCCTGTCCTATAGATTTAGAAAAAGTATCAAATTGGATTCGACATCTTTAAAATATAGGAATTGGGGGGGGGGAGAACAGTTATACAATTATATATAGCATTCAAAAATGAAGGCCCTTGCTAGATTCTTGAGGAAAAGTTCACTGGACTCAGAAAACTCAAAAAACTTAAAGCTTAGGATTAAGCCAGCTCTTTTCAGACTTTTATCATGAATCATAAAAGTAAAAAGTATATAGGTAGCTGAATAGATGGGAATATATGCCAAACTTTCCTAAAAAGATTTCACAAGGCCCAGTTTACTGTCCTACTATTTTCAATCTTCCTGAATCGAAATGGCTCTTTTGAGGTTCAATTCAGACTTCTTACCACAACTGAAAATATCTAAATACTGTTATTATGACAAGCAGATTGACAATCATTAGGAGACAAATTCTCATATATGATTATTTGGATAATATTATAAACATTTAGAGATGTTAATCCCATAAAGTCTTCATTCCTATGGAGGCAGCATTCTTCTTTGGACTGAAGAAATCAGGTAATCCTCAATGTATGATTACAACTAGGACCAAAGCTTCTACCACTAAGCAATATAGTCATCAAACAAATTGTGTTCAATCTTACAACCTTTTTTGTCATGATCATAAAGTGTATCACCAATTAAATGAATCACATGGTCATTAAGCTTCCCCCATCAATCTTGCTTAATCAGAAGTCCCCTGGAAAGGTCACAAATGGTGAGTTCAGAATGTTGCAACTATCATAAATACATGCCAGTTGCCAAGCCAGAAATTTTGATCATGTGATTGTGCAAATGCAGTAACAATCATAAGTGTGAGGATCCATCATAAATCACTTTTTTCAGCATTGTTGTAACTTCGCACATTTGTTGAACAAATGGTCTTAAAGACTACATATACATAAAATAACCTTTAAGATGAAGTTAATATGTGACAAAAACCATTCAAAATATGTTTATTATTATTCAATCATTGAATAAATCTTTACCTGAGATGAAAGCAGATTGCAATCCAAGTGCATTCCTTTCCCTGTTTTATGTCGTTGAAGAAGTGCAGCCATAATTGCTCCATATGCATATAAACCTGTAGCAAGGTCAGTCATAGCTACGCCTGGCCTAACTGGCTCACCACCCTAAAAAAAAAATATCAGGATGATAAAACTGATATATTATACCTGTGTCACTCCCAAAATGTTTTTTTCTGTAAGCTACAAATCAAACAACACTTCTTACAACATTTAACTATGAAACTTTAGAAGCTAGCTTCATATTCAATGAGATGGGCAATTATATACATTTGCTAAATTAATTAATTAATTAATTAATTAATTAATTAATTAAACTAGCTGTTTAACCGTCTCAATAACTTAAAATAGTTGAAAAAAGCTGAAGCAATTTAAATAAACCACTGTATTATGAAGGGTAATTCTCAGTATGCGTGCACTAGCTGTTGAGATGGTATCTTTGCTTAGATAAACAATAATATCAGTTTAGGCAAAGAAATGCATGCATTATCTGATTCACATTTCAAGATTCCAGAAGCAACCATCAAAGTTACATAATATTCCTTCTCTGGCTGGATATTTGCAGGGGAAAAAATCATCTATGTTTGCAGGCATTTTAGGATACGAATGAGGAAGGATCAAGAAAGATTAAGCATACATTATCTTCTATGTCTCTATTGTATCTGAAAAAGAATGTCTATTTCTTCATTCCAGAATTGTTTATCTTCTGGGAAACGGGAAAGATATCTCTACAAAAAACAATATACTTAAGATTAAGAAGAGCTGTGGTGGCGCAGTGGTTAGAATGCAGTATTGCAAGCTAATTCTGCTGACTGCCCATTGCCGGCAGTTCAATTCTCACTGGCTCAAGGTTGACTCAGACTTCCATCCTTTTGAGGTCGGTAAAATAAGGACCCAGATTGTTGGGGGCAATATGCTGACTCTGTAAACTGCTTAGAGAGGGATATAAAGCACTGTGAAGCGGTATATAAGTTTAAGTGCTACTGCTATTGCTATTTGCACTTTTCATTTATTTCATATTCTTTGGATTATCAAACCTATTGCACCATGGACTTATAATCGCTAATCCTTTTAATGTTAGCCAATCCAGAATATCTCAGTTGACTACAGAGAACCAAATTGGACAAGAGGTGAGATTCCATTTTTGGCTCCTTCCTACTTGGGACACTATGATATTTTTTTCATTGGAAGTTAGTACAAAGTATAGAAAACTATACTATCTGGCTTCCCCATCCTTCATCAGTCATTCTGAATATTCAACATGTTGCTAAATCAGTTCACATGAAAAAATAAAAAACTGTTGTATCTGCCACTTTACAAGCTGGACCATAAATAAATATAAGTGACCCAAGGCTGATATCAGCACTAAAATCTCTCCAAAGACTGCTGATCTCAGTTTCCAAGCGTAAGTATTATGCAAGCTTCAGCACAATTGCAAAAGGTTAGGCTTTCTTGTCATATTCTCAAACTTTGTGAAATTTATCAGTGATGTGCTTGGAAATATATTTTTGAATAATAATGCTCTGTTTGAATCATCTGAAATTTATATTTCAGTAGGCTATAAATAATATTCAAATCACATAGAATACTTTCTTCAATGGGATATTTGCAGGAAACATCTCTTAAATCATAATAATTTGTCTATATGGAATAGTACATAACAACAAATAGAGTTTATAAATCCTGTTCTATAATGAGAAGATGAAAGATAGCAGAAAGATGCAAAAAATAAATAAAAAGGCATTGAATATCTGCATGGTTTCAATCCTGAGAGTAAATCCCACTGAAAGTATGGATTACTTCTAAGCAAGCATAAATAAAAGTGCATAGTAAATGAAGCATATTATTCAAGGTTCATTAGACATAAGAACCATGAGATTAAACCAAATATATCGCAGAAAAGGCTGCCTATATTTAATACCATCATCTGACACCCAACTCATTATCTAGCATGTCAGTTCAGAAGCCAATTTCTTATTAATTTCAGACCTCTCTGCTAACGAAACAGTCACTTAGGATTATTGAAAATTGCTTCCAGCATTCAGGCACATTTGGGAAGCATTCTGACTTATTCTAAAGGACCAAGCGTCAGACAAAAGAATTTAATTCACTTATATTGGATATAATAATTAAGCAAGATTAATAATCCATTAAAATTATGCTATGTAAATATTTGAAACCACATAAATTAATACTGAATTAACCACTGAATGATAATAATCTTACGTAATAAAATTATATTTTTGTAATTGTAACACATTTAAAAAGAATTGGGGAGTGGAACAGATCTGGATACTGTTAGTAATTTTCTCTTGAATTTATTCACTAAATGTGCCACCATTTTTCTTACTCAGGCAATACAGACCCTACCGCTTTGGCTTTAATCTTTATCCAAATGTGTTGGCTAGAGATCAAAGCTTTGCAGGCAAATATATAACTAAATGAAATGTCCATGTGCAACATATACACATACACATCCATCATATTATTCCTTTCAGGGTAAGCAATGTTATGCAAAGCGCAGAAATAGAGTAATAGTAAACCAAAGAAACTAAAGACATCAGATAATGAAAGAAAGCATAGCTAAAATGACTTTTCACCTATGCCATTAACTATATCTTTCTGCCGTTGCAATTAGCTTTGACTATTACATCCATACATTGCTTAATATACTTTCTTTTCTTTTGTAAATTCTCACCTTTCTTTTCAAAGATCCTTTAACTCCATCCAACCACAACATTCTTCATTTCCCTTTCCTTCCAACTTGTTAACTGTTACTTGATATATTTGTTTTGCAATCTTCATTTATTATTTCAACAAGCTGAACAAACTTTTTTTGGTACTGGTTGCTCATGTTTGTTTTCAATTAACATTCACTCAGCACTCGTTTATGCTTGACCTTATCCCTTCTTTTACTGCACATACTTTCATTCAATGTACTTCTATGTTCCTCCTAATGTATTTAATGCTCACTTCCATTTATTTAAGTGGCCTGAAGTCCACTCTTATATGTAGCCATTTTCAACTGACAAACATTCATTCTTATAAAAGGATATATATTAACTACTACCTTTCTATGAGCATTTATACATCTTAACACTTTCCGTTCTATTTTTCCACTTTTAATAGACATTCTGTTAAAAATATATATATTCATTTATTTGCTCCACTTTTTGCCATTTATATACAATTCACAACTTTTCACTCTGTTTTCCTTATCAAATAGAATTATCTTGGTCTTGATTCCTCATTGTATCATACAATCTATTTGGCATTGGCTTCTAATACTCGAGTGTCAACCCAAAATACAGCTTTCTTTGAGTACAAAAGTTCACTTTTTGCTCATTTGTCACCTATTTTACTATTAAGAATTCTTTTTAGCAAGCTTCCATTAGCATAATTCATCATATTTTGCAGCACTCTGCAACCATAATTGTATTTACTCTGTTCCAAGCAGTTGCACAAGTATTTTATGTTCACTTTCTAGTCATATTACTTTTCGTACCACACTCATACTTCTTTTCTTATAGTCGCTATACTTTTACCCTAGCTTATGTCTCCTCTTTCCTTTTCTTCCACTTTTTCCCAAGATCCAATCTTTAAATGAGCAACAATTGGCATTCCTACATTGAGAATATTTATTCAATATTTCTCTCAAACATTCAATATTCCTCTCAAACAAGTAAATTTATCATGCATTTAGATTTATATGCATTCTTCTACCAAGTGTAAATAAAAATAATCTTATTTTTAATTGTTCATATGAAACAGATTTATTTCTAAACACCAGTCATGTTCTCATTTATTCTTGAATGTCTGAATGGTCCAGTCACTTGTTTGGTAATATCATCTCATTCCCACTCATCCATTTATGTCACCGATTGACTAGAGGTAGTTACTGCTTTGTTCAGCTTCTATTCAAATTTACAATGATCCTGAAAAAGTAGAATTACAACTAATATTCAAAATTCTGGCCATTGCAATGTTCCCATAGTCACATGATCACAATTTGGGCACTTGATAATCATTATCCATTTACAATGGTCATAGCATCCCATGTTATATGATCATTCTGTCACCTTCACAGTTGGCTTCCAACAAAGGAAGTCAATATGAAGCTGACACTAGATTGCAAATTGTGGTTATATGGTGTCATTAATTCATACTTTTTATAATGTATTAATCTTACACTTCAAGTTGCAATTTTTTACACACTGACTTGCAAACCATAATCTTCACCACCTATCAAGGATTTGGCCAATAAGATTTTACTAAGTTAGGGAAGGTTCAGCTTTAGTCATCCTCTGCAGAATTCCCTAATAATGATAAGGAATGTTCCAGTCCACTTTTAAACATTTTGGCTAGCATGCCACAAATGCAATCAATTTTAATCCATATATGTTTCTGTTACTGTACTATATGTAAGCTAGCATTTCTATCTGAGAGACTAAATTGTAAATCAACAGACTGTTTCTCATATTTTCACCTTACAGAATGATCTAGCTCAGGGGTGTCAAACTGCCGGCCCACGGGCCGGACGCATCATCCGGAAGCCGTGCCCACCCCATTGCCGGCAATGGCAAAACCGTCCCGATATGTTGCACAACATCATGTGACATCGCAAGGTTGACATGTCTGAATAAAGATTTAAATTTTTTCATAATAGCCAAAGAATATTAATCATTTAGGGGAAATCCCCATACTGGAAAGTTTACAATTACAATGCATAATATACTTAGAAATTAAAAGAAATGTAAAGTAAAGGTTTTCCCTGTCCAGTCATATTTAACTCCAGGAGGCGATGCTTATCTCTGTTTCTTAGCTGAAGGAGCTAGTGATGTTCGAAGACACTTCCATGGTTATGTAGACAGCATGACTTACCTTCCCACCAAAATGGTACCTACACATTTGCATGCTTTCTAACTGCTAAGCTGACAGAAGCTGGGGCAAGTAATGGGATCTCACCCTGTCGTGCAGTGCTCAGGTCTCAAACCAGAGCTGTCAGCTTTGTAGCTGACAAGCTCAGAGTCTTTAAGTTGAACTATTGTTCTCCCAAAAGAAATGTTTATTCTCTTATGTGTTATTTTCACGATTAGCTTTTAATGATAATTTTGTTAGTATAGGTATAATAAATATGTGATCCTTCAGTTGTTTTTGAATTACATGTTCTGGAAGCTCCAAATGATAAAGCCAACAATGAAAGAGTTTAAAAATATCTGAGAACTGTAAGTCTCCATCTTATACTACACAATATTTTACCATGCCTTTCTTTGCTTTCTAAATATCTTTTAATTTATGAACAGATTGGGTTTTATACATTTATCTAAAAGTAACATTTTTCTATTTTTCAGCATTCCATATCATATTGCAAACCTTAAATTATTCCCAGCAATCCATTCAACAGAAAATAAGTAGGTTTAAAAAATATTTATCAAGCTATTTGCAATCAAATCAGAGAGGGAAAAATATATAAAATTAGAAAGATCAGAATGTCTGATCATGACATATAAATTCAACTTTATAGATATATCTTTCTTTTTAAAAACAAGCTGAAGAGATTTTGATATACAAAACAAACTCTTATTGTCTTTGTCCTGCAAATGGCATGTTGAGATATATGGCTTACTTAAGAATGAATTTTGGGGTAAAGAGAAATACAACTGTAGCTTACATAATTCATTACAACTATTCTCTAGCTTTAGAACCTCCAATACAGGACCTGCAAGCATTCTTGTAGTCCCAAATATTTATGCTGATACCTATAGCAGCCACACGTTCACCCTATTTTAGTGACAGGAGTTATTCACAATAATTGAAAGAAAAGGGAAAAAAACAGATTTGTGTCCTCATTATTATTAGGCTACTACAACACACTTTGAATGTGAAATACACTTGAAGATAATGAAGATGCAATTAACTAAAATACTGCATTCTACTACTAAGAGGAGAAAATAGATTTTATAATGCTATGCTGAAAACACTACTTTGGTTACCCATAAGCTGATGGACTCGATTCAAGGTGCTGTTTTAATCTTAAATTCTAAAAGTATGGCATTTGTTTACTTACAAGATGTTTCTCTCCTGGTCAGAATCAATGCACCCTGTGACTTTGTTCCAAAACAGACTATTTTATGTCTCTATCTCATATAAAATGAGGAAGTACAGAAGTGGTCTTTTCCTGTGGAAGCCCTATATCAGTGGTGGCGAACCTATGGCACGAGTGCCAGAGGCGGCACTTGGAGCCCTCTCTGTGGGCACACAGGCCGTCGCCCCAGTCCCGCCTCCCCCCGCAGCCCCATCAGCAGCCCCCCCGGAGGAGAGTCACCCTCGGGTGTGGCCCGGGCAGAGCAGCGCAGCCAAACACATGGCAGCTGGGCAGATGATGCTGTGGGGTGCGGGCGGAGGGCGTGGCCACCATGGCGCTGCAGGGCCGTCTGGGCGATCTGCGGCGGGCCGTGGATGGCCCTGAGAGCGGGCAGGGTGAGGGTGGAGCAGGGCTGGGGTGGGCGGGTGGAGCGGGAGTAGGCTGGGCCCCAGCGGAGCGGTTTTGGGCACTCAGTCTCTAAAAGGTTTGCCATCACTGCCCTATATTATGAAATACTTTATCCCTAGATGTACTAGATGCTCCCACTTGTTTGCATTTGGCAAAACAGCTAAGATAATCCTATTGCAATAGGCTTTTGGCACAGATGATTAACTTGGCCTGTACAGTTAGTCCTTGAGCTGGTATGCTTTTTTTTTTTCCATTGCTGCTGGGAAAAGGACTAAAGGAATGAATCTCTCATTGCTGCCTTTGTTGCTTCTTTCATTGCTGTTACTCTGATGACAGGAATACTGTAGTTATCCTTGTAAGTACTTTAAAATATGATTTTTCATTATAATACTGTGCTTTTTGGTAAGTATTTTATAAACTACTATACTTGTTTGTAAGGAGTTAACAAAAAATTAAGTGTTTTCATTACTGTGCTTGTTTGGTTTTACTTAGAATTGCTTGCAGAAATACTAGCCAGTATCTACAGAAAGCAAAGTAATACTGTAAAGTTCCTTTGCATTCTACAGTACTGTGTTTGTTTACTTTTGCTTTGAGGATTAATATGTACTACTGTAGATTGCTTATAGAACAGCTGATGGAAGGCGGTAGCGATTCCCTCTGGAGGTTTCATGCTGGACATCCCTGCAAATTTTCAAGCCTCTTGGTTCACCTAACAATTGTGGAGGTCATTTAATGAACTGAAGCAAACAGCAAACTCGATCTTCATTGAATTAATGACCTGGTTGATTCACTTAACAAAATGTGATTAAAAATATAAAAATGAGGCCAACTCATGTTACGACAGTTTTGACATACAACCCTAAGGGTCGACTGCATTAGGGCTATACTTTTAGGACTACCTATATTTAGAAGTGTATTGTTTTTACTATCTCGTGTCCTTATTTGCTGATGATTTTATTTTCTTCTGTTAGAAATAGGTAGTGAATATATCATATGCTGTAATCAATTAATTAATTAATTTCAAACTGGCTAACAAATATAGTTTGCTCTGTATATACAGGAATCAAATGATTATAGGAACAAGTTGGCAATAATTCTTACGGCCAAGAAAGCATTTTTTCTTAGTATCAAAATCTTACAAATCGTTGATAATCTGAAAGCAATGCAACAATTACAAGCTATGTAATTCAAACCACCTGAGATTATTTGTACTTATATATTTACTGTATGTTCTTTCCACTGATTTTTATTTCCTAACTTTATTAATTCTGCTCATTACTATATGCCTTATGATATATACTAATGAAATTTTCAATTTTAACAACAGGATTTTATTTTACTGGCAGAAACATACCTCAGGCCCTGTGATATGCAAAAGTCCAGAAACAGCAGCTGCAACTGAGTCATAACCTGCTTGTTGAAATTTTGGACCAGTCTGACCATAGCCTTAAAAATTGCAAGAGAGAGAGAGAGAGAGAGAGAAGGTAAACATGCTACCCGTAGCAGTGAACTCTGCGGCAACTAAATAGAAGCATTATGCTATCTCAATTATAAATATTCAGGCTATATAGACCACATGCTTTTTCTTCTGTATTAATCAGAACAGAATGTACACTAGATCTGTATATAATTTCATCTGTAAAGCAGTCAGCAAACACAGCAAAATAGCATAAGAATTAGCAATAGGTAAAGTCTAAGGCAGGGGTGTCAAACTGCCGGCCCACGGGTCGAATGCATCTCGAGGAAACCGCGCCCACCCCACTGTCGGCAATGGAGAAAGAGCTCCGATATGTTATGCAACGTCATGTGACGTCGTGAGTTCGACATGTCTGGTGTAAGGTATCTGAAAATTGTGTAAATTTCACTACTAAATTCCAACAGCTGGCTTTTAATTTTTTTATGGTCACTGAATTAATGCACAACACAAGCTCATATAACAATTACATTTATTTGCTTAGACAAATTGATTATACCACAACTTTACTCTAAAAAGTGAAAACATAGCACATTTTTACTGAATTGGAAGTATAGTGCACATTAGCACTATTCCTTGCTTTAGATAACATCAGATGACTATTCAATAAACTGCAAAAGAGGGTTCCTTGTGACTTATCAATGCCTGGCTTCTTGGCTGAAGTCATCTGAAGTCATCTGAAGTCATCTATTTTCTGTAACTTTTGTTAGGAAATAAAAATGTATCTATACAATTCCTGAAAGCATAATAAAAATGGAAAACATGATTCTCAGTTGCTTCTCAGGTCAGCCCTGATACATAGGCATCACTGAAGTCAATTCTCTCGATATAAGGAATGACCTCAGCATTACTTCTCCAGACAAGGCTGGTTTATACAACTCCTGAGGATTTGCCTTATTCTCCAACCCTCCAAAGGACTTGTGACACATCTCTTCAATTTCATTTTCTCTGGAACTTGTTTTAGTTATGAACTTTGCTAAATGTGTATGTCTTTGCAAACACAAAATCAGTACTAAGAAATTAGCCCATCTTAATTGTAGCATCAATCAAATAAATACATTTATTTAATGAACTTATATTTCAATCCACTTTTCATTTTAAAATACTCTCAAAAACACAGTATGAGCAGACTTCCTGTGAATATGGTCAACAATTCACATGGCCAGAGAGAATGTCTCTTTCTGGACTGTCATTTTTTTCAACTTACTAACAGAAGGAACAGGCTTTTCTTTTATTTACATGACTCTCCTGGGCTAGGGAGACTCCTACAATCATCTCACAAGATCCTCCCTCTGCAAGTAGCTTCAGGAGCTATACTTTGAAGCAGTTGGTGAGCCAAAACCTGGGGGAGAGGCTGTAATCACTTGTCATTGGAAAAACAGCCACTTTGGAATTTATTTTTCAAATGTACAATAAGTTGTGCCTGTCTTTTCTTAATCAACTTACGAGACTATTATCTTTACTAGGTAAAGGAGGCTCTCTTTAATCACAGCCTATTACTCCTTTTTGAAGCTCTGTGCCATTTTTGAGATTTCTTGATTGTTAAACAACAAGGAAAAAGGTTGCTGGATGCAAGCTAAAATAAGGAAGTGTGAAGTATTTTTTCTTCTTAAATTTGATGGAGAAGTATACGGATAGAAAGTAGCAATTCATTTTCATTATCTCTATAATGTGTAGCTCTGGGTTGCTTTGTTGTGGGTGGTTGAAATTCCCTGATTTTTATGAATTCTGATTGGTCAAATAATAATAATAAATAAATGAATAAAATATATTTTTGACCATAAAGATGTTTAAACCTGAGATCGAGTTTATAATTAGGGAAGCCTTTGAAAAGTCTTAACAGAAAAAAAGTGATTTGTAAACTGAATTGATACTAAGGATAAAAATGATATAGATGATATTTTAAAAAGCAAGACGTGTAATTTGGTGTAGAAAATTATCAACCCACTCAGACAATTTTACAAATATCTGACAATGCAAATGACTCAATTGCAACTTTGAAATACAAATCTGACACCATCTATTTTCTGTAACTTTTGTTAGGAAATAAAAATGTATCTATACAATTCCTGAAAGCATAATAAAAATGGAAAACATGATTCTCAGTTGCTTCTCAGGTCAGCCCTGATACATAGGCATCACTGATTCTGCTTATTATCAGAAATATCAAAGAACATTTGGTTTCTAGTAACCCTGAAAAAGAACAGCTATACTGAAATCCACTGCTGCATGTCAAGCAAGTTGGCTCTTCAGCAGCGAAGGAATATGGTTCATATCCCTCTGCCAATATACATTACCAGATGTACTGTTTCATTTAAAGCTGAAAAGGAACAAATCAATACAACGAACAAAAGCAGCTGAATATGAATAATAAAGTTTGTTCAACTTAATTCCCATGCTGTCTTATTTGCTTGCAATAAATACAAATTGCACATAGTTTATTTAAAGTGAAATGCTCCTTAATTCTTCAAGGTAGCTAATTTTTTTGCATATTTTCATTCAAATACGTTATTTCATTATAACTTCACGGCACACTGAAAAGCATCACATAAACCAGCTTACTGAACCCAAGATATATCTTATGAAAATTTAATTCCATAACATAGTTATTTGTTATTCTAAAAAACATTTTTAAAAATAAATTAAAATATCCAATTACTTGAAAATAGGGTGGCTTCCCAAAATATAATAATTCTGCCACTGGAGGAAGACAAAGAACAAGTTCAACAAGGCAATGTACAAGTCTGTATTAATGACTACATTGTGGCAATAAGGAAGGTGAAATGTATTTCTTTCTCTGCCATAATTTGTGGATTATTTTGTGTCCATGGAGACCCTATTTTGGGTGACTCAGTCCCTTCTTGGTAATGGAAGAATCAGAGGAACACTTGTAGGGTTATTAGTAAAGTCATCTATCAGTATGAAGTTGAATATCATTCCTATGGAATACAAAATTATTTAAGAGCTTTTATTTGCTTAGACCTGCTCCAAAGGTAATCGGGGTGGGGGGTGGGGGTGGGGGGAATATCAGTTGCAGGAGTTCACACTAAATCTGCAAGACAAGCTACAAAGATTAAAAGCATCAAATATGCTATTTGGTAAATTCTAGTTACTTATTTTCTTTTTTTAGAAAGTTGTTATGAATAACTCTGTACATATGTCTTTCACCTTATTTCAAAACTGAAAATACTTGTTTGCTTTAAGCCAATTTGTTTCTGTAAAGGTCTATAGATTTACTCCTTTGGAGTTACATTTAATCTTGCTTCCCTACTTTTGCTAGCACTATATGCTAGGAATCATAAAATATCTGAAATTATATTGTTGCACTGGTCCTCACCATGTGATACCACAAGATCTCTAGAACACAGGTGTCAAACTCGCTACGTCACGTGACGTGTCATGACTTTTTTTGTATTGCCAGAGCTGGGGTGGGTGCGTATGATGCAACGAGCCCCGGGCCGGCAGTTTGACACCCCTGCTCTAGAGCTTCATCCATCCTATAAAACAGTGGTTCTCAACCTTTTTAATGCCGCAACCCCAACCGATCGTAAGTCGAGGACTAAACCGGTCGTAAGTCGAGGACTAAACCGGTCGTAAGTCGAGGACTACCCAACCGGTCGTAGGTCAAGGACTTTCCCTGCCCGGGAGCACCGCACATGCGTGGTTCTGCCCCCTGCGCCGGCCGAGGCATAGCTGGCAAGCGGCAGAGACGGAGCAGGCCGACCACCAGCTGGCCCAGCCCAAGGGAGGTAAGGCACCCGCCGGAAAAGGAGGAAAAAATGGCGGACAAAAAAATGGCGGACAAAAAAATGGTGGACAGCCTTGCTTGGCGACCCTCGTGAAATGGTCGATCGACCCCAAATGGGGTCCCGACCCACAGGTTGAGAACCACTGCTGTAAAATCTATACATCCTGTAAAATCTATATGTAAATCTGTACTGTATATCATCTATGTTTCATGGGAATAGCAGTTGTTCATACAAAGATTATTCTTCAGAGTATAGTAGGAAGACCATTTTCTTTGTTCAGTTTCCAATTAAACCAGACCATATTAAATATCCATAAAAGTTCATTTCTCAATGCTTATCTGAGAAACTAAATATAATAAACTTAAACCAGATTACATTAATATTACTTCTAAATTACAGATTACAATAATACTACTTCATTATTTTCTGAGCCAAACTGTAAGCAAAATAGGCAGATAGAACATCGAAACCATTCAGAAAACAGCAAGAATGTTATGCTGGATCTAGGCAGTTTGAACATAAAAGTAATCATTAATGAAAAGAGATATGTAGGATGAACAGCTCTGCTTTGACTCTGGTCCCAAAGACTTGAAATGTAACTAGTTCATATTTGGATAAATATTTTTATAAAACAATTGTCTTGGTCTAGGCAAAGGTTGTGTTTTTAAGTATTTGCTCTTCAGTATTTCATCTACCCTAACCCAAGTGATGCACAATATTTTTTTGGCTTTTAGAATATATCTGAAGTGTCACAAGGGTTTAGTCAATGATGCAAAACAGGCTGAGCCATGTCATATACTTTGGCAAAGCCAGAATTTTCAGTTTTTTATTGCTTTTCAAAGAGATCTGGAAGATGAGATTCTCAATTTTTAAAAAATTATTTTTACCAAATATACATAACATGGCAATAGCAAGACTCTTCTCTACAATTGTTAAGAAAACTGAATGTATGTGCCTAGGTCCATGTAGTCACTAGGAGCTAAGGTCAATTTAAGGGCATCTTTGCCCTTTTCTTACAGTATTTTTCTTTACAATTTTTGCCTTTTCCCATTTCAAAACTTCAAGAAAGCACACATGTAATTTTCAACCATTATAGTAGAGGTAGATGCTGGAGCTTTATACAACAGTATAAAGCAGGATTTCAAAAGAATTATCTCTCATTTTTCCTTAATTTTCTTAAGTTTTGCCCTTAGCATTTTTTCTGAAGCAGAGGATAACTTAAA